TTTAGTAATGTAATTTAAAAGAAGAGATGTAATACACGTACACCCCCTTTTTATACATGTACACCCCCTTTTAATACATGTACACCCCCCTCCAAAACCGATTAGCTTCCGCGCGGCCGCTAGCCGCATAAGGTATAAATTCACACATAGCTTCCTGGGGAATATTGCCGAGACTCTTGGTGGTAGCAAGGCAAGCCTTCCCAGATCTCTTCTGATAAAGTCTAAAAGATCAGACGATTTTACATCGTCGAATGGTGAGGTCTTTGGATTGTCCTTCAACGGCGATAGCTGATTGGCTGGCTACCCTCTCTCGTTGCTACTAGAAATACGCCTATCGTACTCGAATATCCACTACCTATTGGCCACCTGTCCTTCCTAGAGCTGAAAGGTACCAAACATAGTCTCGTTACCCTGCATGTAGGCTGGCGTACCACGTCCGACTACCTCGCTATCGACTACCTCGCTATCGACTACCTCGCTATCCGCCTCGTGTAGCCCCACCTCTTTCGGCTATGTGCGGAGTTTATACCTTATGCGGCTAGCGGCCGCGCGGAAGCTAATCGGATTTGGGGGGAGGTGTACATGTATTAAAAGGGGGTGTACGTGTATCACATCTCTAAAAGAATGATTCAAAACGAAAAGGGTAATAATCCAATAGGCTAACCATATAGAGTAGTTATTAGCCTCGTCGATCACCCACAAATTGAATCACTGTTTTATATTATAAAACAGTGATTCAATTGCAAAGTTGCCCTATACGGCGTTAGCGTAACTGCTTATTTAGACATACAAAATTGAAAGAATATTGCGGAGACAGTTCAGCAGCAGCGGTGACACAACAGATCTGCTCTCCACGGTCTCACACCAATCCACTCAGTCAGCTACTCAGCCAGTCACTCAGTCTGATATTCTGCAAGAGGAGGAATAATGCACTACGGAGAGAATTGCGGAGACAGTAGCAGCAGCAGCAACACAACAGGCCTGCTCTCCACGATCTCACACCAATCCACTCAGTCAGCTACTCAGCCAGTCACTCAGCCAATCACTCAACAAGAGGAGGAATAATGCACTACGGAGAGAATTGCGGAGACAGTCAGCAGCAGCAGTGACACAACAGACCTGCTCTCCACGATCTCACACCAATCCACTCAGTCAGCTACTCAGCCAGTCACTCAGCCAATCACTCAACAAGAGGAGGAGCAATGCACTACGGAGAGAATTGCGGAGACAGTCAGCAGCAGCAGTGACACAACAGACCTGCTCTCCACGATCTCACATCAGCCCGATACTCAGTAAGAGGAGGAACCACTGCAGCAGGTAAATGTGGAGAACATTGCGGAGACAGTCAGCAGCAGCAGTGATACAACAGGCCTGCTCTCCACGATCTCACACCAATCCACTCAGTTAGCTACTTAGCCAGTCACTCAGCCAATCACTCAACAAGAGGAGGAGTAATGCACTACGGAGAGAATTGCGGAGATAGTAGCAGCAGCAGCAACACAACAGGCCTGCTCTCCACGATCTCACACAAATCCACTCAGTTAGCTACTTAGCCAGTCACTCAGCCAATCACTCAACAAGAGGAGGAGTAATGCACTACGGAGAGAATTGCGGAGATAGTAGCAGCAGCAGCAACACAACAGGCCTGCTCTCCACGATCTCACACCAATCCACTCAGTCAGCTACTCAGCCAGTCACTCAGCCAATCACTCAACAAGAGGAGGAATAATGCACTACGGAGAGAATTGCGGAGACAGTCAGCAGCAGCAGTGACATAACAGGCCTGCTCTCCACGGTCTTACAACAATCCATTCAGTCAGCTACTCAGCTAATCAGTCAGTCAGTCACTCAGCCAGAGCACTCAGTTAAGCAAGAGGAGGAAACATTGCAGTAGGCAAATGAGGAGAACACTGCGGAGAAACCAAGCGGCAATAAGGCCACCATCGTCAAGAACACCGCTCAGCTCTCCAAGATCCCACATCATATGCTCTCTACAATCCCACGTCAAATTGCCACACAGCAAGCGGAGAACGACACTACAATTTGGCCTGCTATCCCCGCGTGCCTAGACAATATCACATTGTGGTACATCACTGCAATGAGCACACAAGAGAAGGATCTACTGCGTCGATCACAGCTGTATAAGCCACCCCAACGCGAAGGCCACCCCAACGCGTAAGTGTAGCGTGTTCCCATACGATTAGCAGGCCAAATTGTAATGTCGTTCTCCGCCTGCTGAGTGGTGATTTGACGTGGGATCGTGGAGAGCATATGTCGTGGGATTTTGGAGAGCTGAGCCGTGTTCTTGATGATGGTGGCCTTATTGTCGCTTGGTCTCTCCGCAGTGTTCTCCGCATTTGCCTGCTGCGGTGGTCCCTTCTCTTACTTAACTGAGTGCTTTGGCTAAGTGGCTGACTAAGTGGATAACTAAGTGGATTGATGTAAGACTGTGGAGAGTAGACCTGTTATATTACTGCTGCTGCTGACCTAGGCAATATTATATTATAGTATATCACTGCAATGAGCACACAAGAGAAGGATCTACTGCGTCGATCACAGCCAATTAAACCTCTGCAGGCAGGGGTTACCTATCGGATGATGCATATTTGGACGAATTGAAACCGTCCGATGTCTTGTTTCGACAGCCATTTCATTATTCGAAAGTTTTTATTCCAGCAGGAGATTTCGTGGGATACACACCACTAATTAGCCCGGTGTCTCCATTTCTTTCCGGCATTCGAAAAACCATGCATGCATACTTCTTGCCATGAGGACATGGCATTTCTCTGTTTTTTGTGGGCAATTGTCATGAGATGCCTGCGGGCACATAGATTAATCAACATCTTTTACATCACACGCATATATAAGTCAAACCACAATGACTCCTTAACATCGGTCTACTCGTACTCTACTAGGAGGACGTATTTATAACGTGGTGTAGTGGCGATCATAGCTCAATAGCCTAGTAATATAAGTGTAAAGGTCGTCGCAACGAGGGCCCTATTATTGGAGGAGTTTATGAGGTATATATGTGGTGAAAGAAGAAGAATAAGTGAAATTTAAAGAGATTTGTGACTCTTCGGCAAAGGTTTCGCCGAAGTCCGTGATATTGCCTAATCGGGTTAGCGGTAGAAGGGTAGGGCTGTTCCCGCTTTGAATTATTCTTTTAAAATTCGTTGCTAAACCTATCTACTATATATGAAAATTTACTATTAATATAAAATAGATAATTATTAGCGATAATTATACGATTTATATAATAAGAACTATATATCGAATATATTTAGATTTTACGTTCTATCTATATAACGTATATCGAATAGAGTTATATAAAACTTTCTATTTATAAAAGATTTAGTCTTATTTATTTCTAATAAATAGTTAATAAATAGTTAATGAAATATAAAGAAGATATCGATTTATTATTATTTTAATACTACGCTATAATATAATATATTAATATATTACTAATAGAGAATTAATGAATAGCGATAATATATGAAATTTTTCGAAATTTCTTTAAGTCTTACAGTTCTACTTATATATTAAATTTCGAGAAAAATCGAAAAATCGAAAAATAAATTACGTGACGTTGATGAATAGACTATTATAAGCGAAGCGAGATACTCGAATTAGTATAAATCTTAATATATAATAAGAAAATTACTAAATAATTATCTATTTATTTCGAATATCGAATAATTTACTATTATAGAAAATTTAATATTAATAAAAAGTTAAGTAAAAGTTAATTAAAAGTTATAATAAATATCGAGTTAATAATATAGTTACGTAATATACTCTAATCGTATATTTTCTCTAAGATTATTTACTTCTCGAAATTAGATAAAGAAGCTAGTAAAGTATAATTATCTAAAATATTTAAATATTTAAGATTTAAATAAACTTTAATATTAAAAGAATTTAAACCGAGATAAGTATCTACTTTAATATATGAAAAATTATAAAAAATAGAATTTTATTTATATTTAGATAATATTAAGATAGTAGATTTAATAATTTTAAGAATAAAAACGATTTAGATATTTACTTCGATAGTTTATTTAGAATTCTTAGATTATTTGAAAATCTTATTATCGAAATTATAATTCTAATATTATTACTTAAAGTAATATAATAGCTTATTTCTAGAATTAAATTTTCTATAATATCGCTAATAAAAGTATTTTAAAAGTAACAAATTAATAAAATTAACTTTTTTCTTATACTTTTATAAAGATTATAGAAACTATAATAACTAGTTTCTTTCTTCTTAATATTTTTATTATTATAATTATTATAAAAGCTATTAAATTCTTTAAATAACTTAAATTCTATTAAAAATTCTTAAAATTCTTTACTTTCTTAATTAGAATTTAATAAATTCTCTATTTTTATAATTAAAAAGATCGATGAATAATAAATTAATAAGTTTCTTTAAATCGATATAAGATATAATTAAATTAGAAAGACTAGTAAGAATTATATACGTTTTATTATTAATATTACTTTAAATTAATAATAATTTAACGATATATTAATAAAGTTAATAGAGTTAGTAGTAAGATATTTATTATATATCTCTTCGAAAGTAGCTTTAATAAATAAAATCTTTACTCTAATAAGTTACTTTAATTAATAATTCTAAAATTTATCATAAGCTTAATAATTCTACTAGTTAAAAAAAAGCTAAAGACTACTAAGTATTAAAGCTAATTAGAATTCTAAAAAATTAAAATTTATAAATTTAATTCTTACTTACTTTTTTGTTCTTTAAAAAATCTAGCTGATATTCTATTAGCTAGGTAGATTCATAATCTAGGTAGAGGTAAGCGATAAAGATAGTTTAGTATAACTCTGCAGAAACATGTGGCAAATCGTGCTCAACCGATGATAGTATGTTCATTATCATAAATTGCAAATTGCCATATTATCTGTATGGGTAAACGAACTCTCAATCCCAAAACCTAGACTCCATCAGGGCACGACGTTAATGCTTATTATTGACTCAATCTGGCGGAATTCTCCCGGGACCTCTTCTTATTATCAGAGCCCGTCTCATCTGAAGCCTCATGCCCAGCCTGTGATGACACACTGCGCTTCCGACTCGCCTCCTCCCTCTCATGGACCCGGACCACCTCCCCCCATTCATAGACCCGGGGCCATCTCATGCCACACTTCCTCAGAAACGCATCCATGTGTAGGTCAACGCTCTCATCATCTTTCAGCCAAATCTCTTTGCCGTCCGCTTCACCTAGATGCTCTCCGCGGGGTTCAGCGTCATAGTAAACGCACAGCGTTTTAATGACGCCTTGCGCCCTGTCCCGGGCAGATTTATCTATTTTACAACGTTAGCGCAATTAAGAGAATAAGGGATTATTTCGTCAGTGGAGTATTCGTTATCGGATTGGGGAGGCTCTTACTGTGATCCTTTTTCATGGCAAGCAACTCCAGATCTCGATCAGAGATGAATTTCCCTTTTGCTCGTTGACCCAGAAAGTACGCCTCCCCCACAGTGTCGGGCATCGATGAAGAAGACCGCCATTCCACCTCGCCGTCCGTACGAAGCTTGGGGACTTGAGGAGGAATGATTTTGTGATGCAGTCGGTTGATGATGCCATTTTCAAAGATTGCCCTGGCGTTGTGATGGGCAGCTGCCCCATCCCGGAGCGATCTCTCCACGCCGTTGAAGCGAGCGTTCGAACGATCATCTTGCGCCTCCAAAACTCTTTCCACTCGATCGAAAAAACCGCTAAATGATCGATGCAGCTCCTCCAAAAACCTGTTTCCCAATGTTACCTCCATGTCGGCCATGTCCTTCTTTATTTCACTTCTTAAGCCACTCGTCTGTCTTTCACAACGGCTCTCTTGTTCCACAAACCCATCTTTGATCTCGACCTTGATCCTCTTCTCCCGTAAGGCCATGTTCAGCAAACAGCCATCGATGTATTCGATAGGGTTGTTTGTCACGGAGGGTGGGGATTGACCCGCCTCATTGGCTAGCGTACACTGTATCACTGGAGATCTCAGCCATGTCGACGACAACTCCGTAGAGATATAAGACATTTTGAGAGCGTGCGTGGCAGAAAATAGATTGTGCAGAAAATGGAATAAGCGTAGTAAGTCGGGAAGAATATGGGATGAATAGAGCGAGCGCGTTGATGTTATAATATTATGTTAGTTGTAGATAAGCCATCCGCCGCTAAATTCAATGCACGCTTCGCCCGAACATACCCATCGTTTAAAGCTGAGTATCGAGAATAGTCTCTATTTAAAGTATATCTCTAGAACCCAAGTCGACTCGTATACGATTACTATATACGAATTATTACATTATTGGCGAGGTCCGTGAAGGTTTGAATCTCCTTTTCAGATATAGAATTAGAATTCCTGCCGAGATAGCTAATATAGTACAATATGTAACAAGCCACAAGAACGCCATCGCGCTCCTGCAAAAGACGTTCAAAGCACTCGAGACGAGAAGCAAACTGCCATTGACGGTGTTGTTGTCGGCACCGAGAAAGGATATAGATGTCAAAGATAAGAATAATCAAACTGATGAGGGTGAGATTTAGAGACTTAGACTCTCGAGTACGCTGTAGGATTTTTATCGTCGAAGACACCGAAGAACTATTCTAAAAGACCCATGCTTTGCTAATCTACACGCTTTCGTTTTCGTTGATCCAATCCTTTCGAGATAGCATTGTCACACCACGTCATCTTCCGTCCAGGTGTGACATCTGAGTCCTCGTCGGTGGTACGAGACAGCGACTCAGTGCTGGAGAAGTGCGTTGCCTCCGATGCAAAGCAACTGTATCTAAAATCCTCCACGTTGGGGTCTTGTGATATCCATGGCCGCGGGCCCAGCATCCTCTGCTTCATATGTTTATACACCGCTGCCTCCGTTTCCTCCGCACCGGTAACGTTGAGGTCGAGGGTGTCCAGTTGATATCGACGAAGAAGGGGACGTATGCGGTCGTTGCAATAGAACCATTGCTCACTGGAGATCGGCAGAAGGTAGAGGAGAAAGATGCATTGCTGTAAGTACCAAAGGCGTCGTTTCATTGTGTCCGTACGCGGTTCAAGCGAGGATAAGGTGGAGGGTGGGGGAATAGGTTGACTGAGATGAAGTATCTGACGAAGAAAGTACTCCATACTATCTTGTCGAGTTTGAGGCTCGTCGGCGCGTTGCTTAATAAGCCATCGACGTTGTTGATGATTAAGTTCCATATTGGACGAGAGGTAATGAAGCCGTTAAATATCGATTGCGTTGCACGAGGAGTGCAGTAAATAAGAAAAGGGGTGGAAAGATAGCTAAGATTTCTAGAAGCTAGCCACTAAAAATCATCTAAATCTAAGGCTAGAATCTAGGCGCGCTAAGGAAGACGCTACTGCATTATTAGATAGTTGTTTTATTTATTCTTTTATCGCGTCTCATACACACACATTTCTATCTTCTTTACAGAGGTCTGCACCGAAAGTCCTGCACCCGCTAAGACTCTTGCGCTCAGACTTCGGATAACGCCCCACCTAAAGGGCTACCTGGACAATGCGTCTGGAGTTCTTCGGAATCGCACCTAGCTCTAGCCAGGTTTCGGGGCTTAATGCCCCTATCAAGCCAAAAGAAGTACCTAAAGTCCCATCCATGCGCTATGAAGATATTTCTAGGCTTCCCCTCTACAGGGCCGCTTTCCGAAAGTAGGGTTAGGGCTGCACTAGTGCGGGTGCAGGACTTTCGGTGCAGACCTCTGTATACTGTTATTGAAAAGCACTCTATATTTAGGCTATACCCCTAATTTCTTAATCACCAGGAAACGAAAAAGTTCCCGCAAGCACCCCCCCCCCTCGAAAACTAAAAACTGAGAATTCTTAAATAGCTTTACAGCCACTATTAATTATAATCTCTATTTTTTACTATTTTTACTTATTATACTAAATAATTAATTACAAAAATCTTAGAAGATTTTAATCTAGATATTATAAAATATAATTTATATTAAGAATATTTACTCTACGTTAAAAAGTTACCTCGGCTATTCTATAATCGCTAAGACTTTTTTAAAAAATCTCGAGAATTTAATAGATTTTTATTTTATCGTATAGTAGATAATTAAAAATTATTAAAATTTAAGAGTTTTAATTTTATTAATATATATTTTAATATATATATTCTATCTTATTATTATTTATTTTATTTTAAAAGATATTATTTAATTATATAACTATATTATCTTAATTCTTTTTAATCTCTAGAAGTTTATTATATAAAGTTTTATAGATTATTAAAGAGATTTATTAGAGCTTTAAAGTCTTTATATTAAATCTTTAATTTATTTTTAATAATTTATTTTAAAATAAGTTAATTAGAATAATTTTAATTTATAATAATAAAGAAAGAAAGAGAATATATATAGACGAGTTAAATAAGAAAATAGAAAGATATTCTTTATTAAATACTTCTATATAAATAATAAAATTAGAATTTATTTATAATCTCTATAAAATTAATATATTTATAGTAGAAAAAAATTATTAAAAATTATATCTTAATCTATTCTCTTATATAAATAAAAGTTATTAAAGAAAATTATAATAAGTAAAGATATTATATTAAAATCTATCTTATTTAATAGTATAAAATCTATTATATCTAATAAAGATATACGCGAAAAGCTTATTTTACGCGAGAAGTTAGTTATAAATATATTTAATAAAGATATATACGAAAAGATTACTTTACGCGAGAAGATAATTATAAATATATTCTTACTTTATAATAATAAAGACGAGTAAAAAATATTATAATTTAAATACTATTTTACTTTTATATTAAAATATTTTATTAAATATAATAATAAAACTAAATTAGATTTAGAAGTTATATTATTTTTAATAATATTCTTATTATTTAAAGTTAACTTTAAAGTTAATAGATTTATAATTAAAATGAAAATGAAAATAATAATTATTAAGATTACTTTTTTATAAAATATAAAATTAAAGAGATAGCGTTTATAGAGTTATTAATATTAATATATTATTACTATCTAATCTCTCTTTCTAATATAATTATAAATAACTTTATTTAAACTATCTACTTAAATATAAAGAGTATTTATCTATAATATAAAAAGATTATTATAAGAGTATATTAATATTATAAAAACTAAAAACGACGATTCTCGATATTATAGTTAATTTTATTATATACTAACTTAATATAATAAAGATAGATAAGATTATAAAATTAATTATTCTTATATCTATTAAGATCTTAAATAAAACTTTTAATAAAATTTAATATTAATTAACTTAAAATAATTTTTCGCTTTATTATTTCAATTATTAATTTTAAAAATATTTAAAAAAATAGATTATAGTTTCTAAAATATAAATATATATAAAAGACTTTAATAGTTTATACTTATTATTATATCTAAATACTTTTATATAAATTATTAATATATATAAAAGAATAAGATAGAGCTAAATTAGAAAATCTTGAATTTATATATGTAGCTAATTATAAATTCGGATCCTCTACGCTTTTTAACTAGACCGGCTGACTTATTGCGGGTAAATAAATTAGCGTCCGCAACCATCAAAATCTCGCCCACCCGCGCCTCCCTTATTAAACTCTAAATCGATTTACTTAATCGTTTTATAATTATTTTATAACAGTTATAAACTATAAACCTCTTCCCTTAGAACCCATAACGGTTATAGTTTTATAACCGTTCTATAATCGTTTTATAATCGTTATAATAATATTTTTTTATTTTTATTTTTTTACTAAGTCTCGAATAGACTAGTAGTATTATATAATATATCTTCTAATATAAAAATTTCGCTAAAATTAAAAAAAACTTAATTCTAAATTACTAGCGTTAATACTTAAGCTTATATATACTCAGCGAATTTTTAGCTCTATAAAGAACTTTTAATTTTTTTTTAATTCTTATATAGATTATTTATAGTTCTATAAGAATCGTATAATCGTTCTATAATCGTTTTATAATCGTTCGATAACTATTACGTAACGATTACGTAATCGTTAAATAATCGATATGAGATTATAAGTTAGAATAATTCTTCTAACGAGTATAAATTAAGTTTTATATCGATTATATATCGATAATATATCGATTATTTATCGGTTATTAATTATAGAATTATTATATAACGATAATATATCTTTAATAATAACTAGAATAGTATTCTTTTTATAAAAAAATTATTATCTTCGCTGAGAGATATCGATTTAATTAATAATAAGATTAAATTATTTAGTCGTTAGAAGTTTAATTTATATTACTTATATATTGAAATATATTTAACTTATATTCTTATTATATTATATTATCTTTAATATTTTTATATAATTTAAAGTTAATAGATTCTTATTAAATATAAATTATCTATTTTAAAAGTTTTTCTAGAATTAAGCTATATAATAAATCGTTATTTATATATTATTAAATCTTAAAACTTAACTAATTATTATTTAGAATTTATTTATATATATAATTTTTATAAATTTTTATATAAGATAATACTAGTCGCTATAGTTTAATTAAAGATTATAAATATATAAGTTATATATTTCTTAATCTAGATTCTATTAAAAAAAATTATAAAAATAATAAATATTAGTATATATAATAGAATAAGATAGAGCTAAGCTTGAAAATCTTGAATTTATATATGCAGTCAATTATAAATTTAGGGTTACTACGCTCTTTAATTAGACCGGCTAAGTCACCACGGGTAAATAAATTAGCGTCCGCAATCATCAAAATCTCGCTCTCCCGCGTCTCTCTTATCAAAAAAATAGGTGTACGTTATTAATATATAGAATAACTTTTTTGTTTTCTATTGAAATTTTGAGATTTTTTTTCAATTATAAAGCGTCGTTTACGCTTTTCAAAATTTTAAGAAATCTGAAATTTAATTCTATAGTTATTAATAAGTAAGGAGTCTAAATATCGCTTATTAAAGTTCGCTTACTAAAGATCGCTCACCTATTTACTCGATAGCTCTAATTAAAAAAATGATTATAAATTTAATTTATAGGCCTTTACTCGTTATATATATAATATTAAGAAATATTTTTATATAAATAAAATTAGAGATTAATTAAATTAATATTTTTCTTATATATATTAGCGAAAAAGATATACGTTTTTTATTATATATATTTATTTAATAATAAAAAAATAAAAACTCTAATATAAATTTAATTTTAAATCTTTTAATATATACGACTAGAGATATATAATAATATATTTATAAATTTTTAATATTAGAAAATAAAAGTTTATATATAATTAAGATATTAGAAGAATTTAATTTATTATATAAAGATAGAAATAATTATATATTAAATTATATATAAAATATTAACTATTTATAAAATAAATATATATATAATAGATTTTATTTAAAATAAGTATAAGTATATAAAAAACTTTAAAAAAAATGTATAATATATTTTTAAATAGAGATTATAATAGAAATCGATTTAAGATATTTCTAGAATATATTTAATATATATTTAATATATATATAATCTAAATTTCTAAACTTTAAACTTTTAAAAATAGTAAAAATATATATAAATAATTAAATATCTTAGTTTTAAAATAATTTTTATTTAATATAATACTAGTTAAAGACTATCTTAAAATTATTTTAAAATAATATTAAGAAGATGTTTAGATCGATTATAAATCGATTTTAGATTAATTTTATATTATCTTAATATTATCTTAAAATACGAGATATCTAAACTATCTATAATAATAAAACTTTAGAATTAGACTCTATAATATATTATAAATTAATTTATAATATAATTTATATAATTTTATTTTAATCGTATTTTTTATATTAATTTTATTAGATATAAATATTATAATTATATTAATTAAACGCTTTATTATAAAATAATTATAACTTTTAAAAATATTAATTTTTATATTAATATTTTTAAGTTAACATTTAAAAAATTAAAAAATAAAATTTATAAAGTTATAAGCTATCTTATTAAAATCTATCTTATTATAATTTATATATTTATATATTTATAATTATTTTACTTTAAATGAGATTACTTATTATTAAAAGAGTAATATTAATAATTTATTAAATATATTTAAGATTAGAGATATATCAGTTAAAAATTAAAATAATAAGATATTTTATATTTTATATTAATATTTAATTTATAT